ATCAAAAAGCGTCGCGTACTGCTTGCGCATGTGTGAATTCTTGCGCAAGAGGTCAAAAGATTGCAGAGGGAAGAAGTGGAAAAGAAGCCACCAAAACTGCACAAAGTTTGGAGGCCAAAGTCCAAGACGGCGGCCGAAAAGATCGAAAAATGCGGGTCACTCAAATCCGACCCGTCGGTCTGCGGGTCACTCAAATCCGACCCGCCGAATCGCGGGTCACTCAAATCCGACCCGCCAATTCGCGAGTCACTCAGATCCGACCTTCTAGTCTGCGGGTCGCCCAAACCCGACCCTCCAACTTGCGGGTCACCCAAGTCTGACCCGCAACAGATTCAAGGCAGAAGATGTCCTGGTCACCCAAATCCGACCCGCCAATCTGCAGGTCGCCCAAATCCGACCCTCCAAATCGCGGGTCACTTGGGTCCGACCCTCCACTTTGCGGGTCACCCAAATCCGACCCTCCACTTTGCGGGTCACTTGAATCCGACCCTCCAACCTGTCGGTCACTTAAATCTGACCCGCGCCAGAGTCAAGGCAGAAGATGTTCTACACCTGTTTCGTCGATCCCTTCGAGTTCCGTACCTCCGGCGGGGCACCGTGACAACGTGGATTTGTCCCGATTCAAGGTGAGGATAGTCGATCGCCTGGGTCCTTTGCACGAGGATCGAGGCAAAGTTCTGATCGAAGAACGCTTGGGTCCGGTGACTGAACCCCGAGCGACTCGTCGAGCTGGAGGTCGCACACGCCCTCGCAACAATTTTAAGCCTTCTCATAAAGGGAAAACTCCAATTTCTACCCGCCTGGGGGTGTTTATCCAAAACCAAGAGCCTGTTGAGATCCTGCGCTCCCAAAAGCGTAGTTCTAAACACGTGACTCTTAAGAATGCTAATAAAGTGGCAAATCCCCTGAAAGAAACGTATTCATCTGACAATGACAACGTTATACCAGGGGAGTCATGTCAACACACGATAGGTTGCTCCGGTCATCTGATCGATGAGTTGTACTATCGGGCTGGGGGTATGAACGAGTCTCGGAAAAGATATGCCCGAGAAACCAAATCTCACTACCCGTGCGCCGAACTAATCAGGACAGTATTATCAGCAAGACCGCTCCGCAGAGGGTCTCGGTATTTGAGAGGATTTCCAACGGAATGACTAAGTCCAAACCAAAGCGTCTCCGTAAGAAGCGATCGACTGTTCATGATAACGAACTTCCAAAAGTCACAATTAACATGGCTGATAAGGGAAAGTCGATTCGACCTTCTAGTTCTGACCCTCTCGTATCGCACCGTCTAACCCGGTTGCGATCAGGAACTATTAGACAAAGGGATTATCAGAGAATGCAGAGAGGGTTATCCTCGGATGATGAAGCATCAGACGCTAACTCGGCAATCGCTTCTGATAATACGGTATCCAGTCCGGGACAATCCCGTGAAGTGTTTATGATTAATACCGAAAAATTCTTGAGGATGCTCTAACCAAACAGAAAGAGGCATTCAAGATTGAAATGGAAATGGCTATGCTACGGATAAGGGAAGAGCATGACCAACAAATTCGGGCTCTATCCAATCAGTTCGGTGAATCTAGCCATCGCAACCGTACTGATCAAGCAGGCAGCGATTCAGATGTGGATGCACGTCTCAATGCTGATGACCAACGTCGCAATGCTGATGACCCTCCCGTTGACCAAAACGCTGGGGGTGGCCCCACTAAAGACGACAACGCTGGGGGTGGCCCCGTTATTCCTCTTAAGAATCGTCCAAAGCCCGATACGAGCGAGGATGAGAAAATGAAAGATCTCGAGAGTAAAATCAACGCTCTAATGTCTGATCGAGAGGTAAAGAGGACTGGCATTCCATGTCCATACCCAAGAGAGTGGGACACAATAGCATACCCGGCGAAGTTCAACTTGATTAACTTCACGCCGTTTGACGGGAAGGGTTCACCCACTCAACATCTGATCTACTTCAAGTCCCACTTGGGTATGATCTCCGGCAATGAAGCCTTGATGGTTCGGTCATTCGTTGGCCCCCTTCGCGGGCCGGCCTTCGATTGGTACCGCCGTCTCAAGCCCAGAAGTATTAACAACTGGGACGATATGGAGAACTCATTCCTTGGTAACTTCTTTGATGACGACGACGAGGTATCCATCAGGACACTTTTCGATGAGAAACAAGAAGATGACGAGACAGTCGACGACTTCGTCAAGCGCTTTCGGAATAAAGCAATGAACTGCCGAGATCCGATCACGGAGGACTTCATCCTCCAGACATGTCATAACAACCTATCTATTGAGATATTAGAAGTTATGGGAGTCGCACCGTCCAACACTTGGAAAGAGTTGAAGACGCGCGGAGAGCGGGCCGAACGCTTCCTCCGAAGGAAGAAAGCCGAGAGGAGCCAACCGACGGCGAATCTTCCGAACTCAAACTTTGCCTCCCGTGGTAAAGGAAAGGCACATGCAGCGGTTGTAGACGTTAACCAGACATCGCAACAACAACCCCGAAGGCAGCAAAATACTTCGGATCCGAGACTCCAAAAAGAGTACTCCTTCAAGGACGAAGATGTTCCAGCTATTTTCGAGTCCCTCCATGAAAGTAACAAGATCAAGCTACCACCTATCCCAGATCAGGAGGAAGCTGATAATACTGCGGATCCGAGCTACTGTGCGTATCATAGGAGGATCCTTCATCCTACCAAGGCTTGCTTCGCTCTTAAGAATAGCATCCAAACCTTGGTTGAAGCCGGCGTTATATCGCTCAATTGAGACGAATGAACACCGAAGAGTATATGAGTATAAACTGTTCTCAACACTCCGACAAGTATAAGAATAAAACTGCTTCTTAATCCTCCGACGATGTAAGAGTAAACTGCTTCCCTGATACTCCAATAGGTATATGAGTCTTAAACTGTTCCTACCGTTGATGGAAGTTCCGTGAGAATGCTTACGATAAGTATTCTTAATGGATAACCCGGACATGTAAACGGAGTAAAATCAGACCAGTTCCAAGAAGGAAGCTGGGGGGTGGATGTCATGTAATGGGAGGTTCCCAGTAAGAACGCTATGATGTAATTTTCTTAGGAATACCGATAATCTACGAACAACGAGTGATATAACACTCAACCCCCACCTTGATTGTACTCCACTCTCACTGTCTACCTGGTCAAACCTTCCTCAATGGAGTTAGGCCACACAAAGTCGCCCTCTCTGATTTCCTGTCATTGAAACGAGAGGTCCACTTTCAAAATTGAACGATCAAGCCTGTAAAACGTAAGTCATCTTCAAACGCTTCCGCGACTTTACTCGCCTTCCTTGTGCAAACTCATAAAAGTTAGGGGCCAAACCAGATTCGTCCTCCGATTCCTTCAATGAACGAGAGGGTCCCACTTTCAATTCAGAATCAAACCTATAAAAGGTTCAGGATCTGTCCTCGCAACTTTACTTAGTCAAACTGCCCAGTGATAATGTCAGGACTAAGATTGAGTTATCCTTTTCATACAAAACTTCCATCTTTTCCTTGTTCCACCAAACCTATAAAGTTTGAGGGTCGAATTGGGCGTTTCTCCTCAATAAATGTAGGACTCTTTTTGGATCGACATGACCATCTCGATAAAGTTAGGGTGTGTTGAATCTTTCTCGATTCTCGGAGTGGAGGATCCCACTCTTAGTTTTCATCATTTCGGATTCTGAGGTGGAGATCACACACCTTGAGTTTCCCTTTCCAACTGGAGATGAAATATAAATTCTCCCTCTTCAGTGCCGGAGATAGAATATACAATTCATCCTCTTCATTTTCCAGTCCGTCTTTAACCCTTGAAAAAGCACACAATTCCCAACTTCTAATCCGTGCACTTTCGTGCACGCGAATTTTATCTCAACTCTAAATTTTGTTTTTGTTTTCTGGTTTATTATATTTCTGATTTCTTATTCTGTCTTAGATTTTTTTTTTTATTATATGCCCTTTTTTATATTGTTCCTTTGTTTAAAGATTGCTTTATTTATTCTTATATTTGTCATCTTCTCTTTGCGTCTTCTCTTATTCTTTTGTTTGGTGCTACTAGTCATTTCTTTATTTATTCTTAAGGGGATTAAAAGGGGGGCCTACGCCATAACACTGCGGTTGCCGGTTTTTGTCTTGGCACCGATTGAAAAGACACCACGGTATAATTCTGGGGACCTTTCATCCGAATCCTAAGGTAGGGATAGTCAACGCTAATACGCGTTGGGCCGGGTTTGATTCTTTCACCGATTGAAAAGACACCAAGTATCAATTCTGGACTTTCATCCGATCTAGTAGGGTAGTCAAACGCCTAATACGCGTTGCGGTTTAGTCTTTCACGATGAAAAAGACATCCAGGTACAATTCTGGCGATTTATCCCGAATCCTAACTAGGGCATGAGTCACGGCCTATACGCGTTGCGGATGCATGTTCCGTAAGAAATGCGAAGTCTATGTATTCAAAATCATAGCACAAAGTCTAAGAGAAGTAATTCTTTTAGCGCAACGTCACATGTGAGACGGGTTTAAGATTCACATGCTAGCCCGATTCAAACGGTAATCGGTAAAGGCACATCAAATCCGTTGAAGGCTGGGGGTTTGCCAAAAATCTTAAGTCTACGTCTAACACACGTCGCCGGTTTAGTCTTTCACCGATTGAAAAAGACACCAGGGTCTAAGCCTGGGGAATTTACCCCGAAGCCTAAGGAGGGGTAAGTCAACGCCTAATACGCGTTGCCGTTTAGTCTACTCCCATGAGAAAGACGAAGTCTATGTATTCAAAATCATAGCACCAAGTCTAGGAGAATTAACTCTCTTATCTTAGCACAACGTTACATGCGGAACGGATATAGAATAATCTGCATGCTAGCCCGACTCAGACGGTAGTCGGTAAAGGCTCATCAAACCCGTTGAAGGCTGGGGGTTTGCCGAAAATCCCACAAGTATTATGGTTGATTATTCCATACGGAGTAAGACATCATAATAAATGAGACATAATGAATGAAAAAAAGACATATTTTCTATTAATAAAATTGAGTTTGCAGGTACAAGAGTTACAATCAATCTACATGAAGTTTGTGACTACGGACTTGCTGATCAAGTTTAGTCAACTCCTCTGTATAAGTTCGCTCAAGCTCACACTGCAATGCAACCTTGAAGGATTCCTCGGTGAGGGATAATGTTTTCGCAGCCTCTTGTTTGATCTTGGCTAACTTCTATTTCGAGAGCTCCAATTTTCCGGATATCACAACTTGTGAACGCTCCAAGTCATCCTTCGCCATCCCCAAGATAGCCAAGGCCTCCATTTGATCCACCCGACTTTGTTGCGTTTGAATCTCAAGTCCAGTAGAAGCCCGAGTGTCGCGCCATGCTTGTAGACGAGATTCCATCCGGATGGCTATGTACGTTGAAGTACCGGCAGTCTTCAACTCTTATAACCGTCGGAATTCGCGCTCCAGCCGGTCCAAATCGTCGACATAGCTAATCTGCAATGAAGATCAACAGCTCAGTCAGATCAAGAACCAAGATACATAAATCAGAGACTGAAAGGGAAATTGTGAATCTTTAATTGAAATTCTACAAAATGGAATTTTCCAATTAAGGGTCCAGTTAAACCTATACGACATCCTCAGCTCAGGTTAAAGGTCATAAAGACCAACCAAAGAACTCGGTCATGTATAAGTTCGAATTCAAGGCATATAAGGTTCTTGAGTCATATACAAGTTCGAATTCATTCAGTTACATATGAATTCAATCATATACAAGAGCTCAGTTATATACAAGTTCGAATTTGAATCATATACAAGAGTGCAACCATATGCAAGGGTTTAATCACATGTACAAATTCAAGGCACATGCAAGAGTTGAAGATATGTTTGAGCAGATAAAGTCAAAGCTTCCGGGAGCTCCCAAATTTCTACTCTGCCTTTTATCTGAGCTCAAAAATTCTGATGTTAAAGGACTTTGGAAGCAAAAATGTCTTTTTTTGAATTTGGAACTGTGACACAATGCATTGCACCTCAAAGAGTTAATGACCGATACCTTACTAATGTTCTACTAAAGATCAATGCAAAGATTGGTGGAATTAACTCATTATTGCTACAAAAGCGCATGACAAAGATCCCCCTTGTTTCTGAGTCACCAATAATTATACTAGGCATGGATATATCACACGGTTCACCTAGACATTCTAATGTTCCATCAACTGCTGCGGTTGTAGGCTCACGTCAATGGCCTTCTATTTCTCGGTACAAAGCTTGTGTAAGAACCCAAAGTCCTAAGGTCGGGATGATAGATTCTTTGTCCAAACCAGCAGGTTCTAATGATGACAAAATTATCCGGGATGGTGTGAGTGAATCTCAGTTCAATCAGGTGTTAAATATCGAGCTGGATCAAATTATTGAGGCATGCAAATTTCTTGACGAACAATGGTGCCCTAAGTTTTTGGTGATAATTGCCCAAAAGAATCACCATACCAAATTTTTTTTTAACCAGGATCACCTGATGATGTTCCACCCGGTACTGTAGTTGACAACAAAGTTTGTCACCCTAGGAATTATGGCTTCTACATGTGCTCTCATGCGGGAATGATTGGAACTCCACATCCAAGGTTCGGTTTTCCCTCAAGAGTGAAAAGTTAGGGTTTCAATTACCAAGTTATGAATGCAACCATGAAGAAAAAAAAATCGGCCATCATTCAAAGCTCAAGTTCAAGTTTCAGTTTTCCCCAAAATTCAAGAACTAGGGCTTCGATTTTTAGGTCAAAATTCAAAAAAAAATCAGCCATGAATCAAGCATCCAAATATGAAGAGTGGAATAAATTGAAGCAAGGAGAGAGGAACTCACCTGGAACTCAAGAGGGGGATGAACTGTGTGCAAACCCGGATAGCCAATGTCCAATTTTTGAACCCTAGCTGGCCTTGCTCGTAGAGAGGAAGGAGCTGATGGTTTTAAAGGAGGAGTGATCAAATCCGAATTGGAAGAAGAGGATGTAGTTGAGGAATTTAAAGGAGGGGAACTTTGATCTTGATAGGAACTCTTGAGTTAGAGGAATTCTTGAGGAAGAGGAGCTCTCAAGAGACCGGACCTTGAAGAAGAAAACCGAACAGGAGCTGGAACGGAAAGAAAAAGGAGGAAAAAGAAGATAAAATGGGGATTTCTCACCCCTTTACCAGCTCCCGACCCGCGTTCCGCGGGTCGGACCTGTGTCCGACCCGCGCGATCACGGGTCGGATTAATCCGACCCGCGATCACGCGGGTCGGATCCATCCGACCCGCGTGAACGCGGGTCAGACCCAGTTCAAGGCCCGTTTTTGCCACATTTTCGTCCATTTTCGTCCGTTTTCGAAATTTTCGAAGCTTAACCTCATCTCCTGGACAATTTCACGGTGTTTTTGCTCATATTTGGAATGTTCAGAGTTCGACTTCATTTCCCGGAATATTCGGGACCCAATTTTATATTTTGGGCGATTTCGTGATTTTTCACCTATTTCGGAATATTCGGGACCCAATTTTATATTTTGGGTGATTTCGCGATACTTTCGCCTTTTATCGGAATATTCGATATCCGAACTCCAACGGGTACATGAGTCTAAACTGTTTCCCATTTTGACAGGAAGTTCCTAGAGAATATTACAAATAATAATTCTTAAGGATAACCTGGCAACCTCCGGCGGGTACATGAGGTTAAACTGATTCCCGAAACTCCCAGGAGTACACGAGTATAAACTGGTTCTCCTCAGGTTAACGCGAAACCCTAAGGTCAACGCCGGTCAACGCGTAGCCCTAGGTCAACACCGGTCAACGCGTTGCGATGAAAGTCAACGTCGATCGATTCGAAACCCTAAGGTCAACGCCGGTCAACGCGTAGCCCTAGGTCAACGCCGGTCAACGCGTTGCGATGAAAGTCAACGCCGATCGATTCGAAACTCTAAGGTCAACCACTCACCAATTCCGGTTCAAGGCTTCAACAACGGTCAGACGATAAACGCAGTACCGAGAAAATCTTAGCTATTCGACAAAATACAGAATACGCTAAAATATGGAGAAGTCAAGAATCGAAACCATCTGTAGCTCCTTTAACACCGACTGAAGGTGGGGATCCATCATATCCAAAGCGTTTCAGACTCCTCTATAAAAGAATGAGGCTGAAACACTTTGGAGGGGGTATCTGTAGGCGTCTAAAATTGTCTACGAGAGCCCGCACGAAACTCGAAGCAATGAATGGGCGAGTCAAGAAGATTCATCAAACCAACTCGTGCGCGTCGGTCAAACGCGTGCACGTCAATCAACTCGTGCGCGCCAGTCAACGCGCGCACGTCAATCAGCTCGTGTGCGCCGGTCAACGCGCGCACGTCAATCAACGCGTGCGCGTCAGTCAAACACGTGCACGTCAAATCATCTCGTGCGCATCGGTCAACGCGCGTACGTCAAACCAACTCATGCGCGCCGGTCAACGCACGCACGTCAATCAGCCCGCGCGCATCGATCAGCACGCGTATGTTAACCAACGCGCGTTCGACGATCGGTCTCGCGACGAAGCATACAAGTCAACAAATCGAACGAATACGGTTTATCGGTTTCAGGGGTTCTTAACTGACTTGAGATCATCCCTAAACGTTGTTAGGCTGCTGTTGACTGAAGATAGAGCCAAATCCCTTGTTCTTATCCAAATAACCGCATTTTGAGGCCTATAAATATGAACCAAAGGCCTCCATTTTCTGGGGCGATTGATTATCAAGACGAGGAGGTGCTGCCGGATTGTGGAGTCAAAGGAGCACGAATTTCAGCGAGGGTTGACAGATCTTGGCGAGTTCTTCGGCATAAAGAAGGAGAGTTCGAGAGATCCGACGCCCGTTCCCGTCCGTCCCTTGAGATTAGGCTTGGTCTTAATCTCGAGAAGAGCCCTGATTTCGCTTGGTCGATCTCAGCGCTTCAAATCAAATACTTCATCGGCGAAGACGAAACTCTGCCGAATTTTCCATCAACCGGATCCAGATCTAAGGCGGTCCACGGATAAACCCCGGCACAGGCAAAGATCCCACGCAAGCAGAAGATCGATAAACGATCTCCCTGCGTTTGTTTTGATAAAGTTGTAAACTTGTTTTATTTTCATTGTGTAAGGAGATCTTATAAAAAGATCAACTTTTTATTTTATTCGAGTTTATTGTAATGACTAAAGTTGTAATAGATTCGATAGCAATGAAAACAGCAATTTTCGACGCAAACAATTTTGTCCCTGAAATGTATTGTTTAAGTGTGATATTTATTTGTAGTTAATATGTGATATTATCTTGTTAGATGTGATTATTGCTATTTATATGTGATATATCACACTAATATATGACATTTGTGCCCCATATGTGATATTTGTCTCTGTTATGCATTGTTTAATTGTGATATTTGTAGTTAATATGTGTGTATGTGATTATTGTCTTTTCAATGTGATATATGATACTTATATGTGACGTTTGTGCCCCATATGTGTCATTTGTCCCTGATATGCATTGTTTAAGTGTGATATTTATTTGTAGTTAATATGTGATATTATCTGGTTATATGTGATTATTGCCATTTACATGTGATATATCACACTAACATATGACATTTGTGCCTCATATGTGATATTTGTCCCTGCTATGCATTGTTTAATTATGATATTTGTAGTTAATATGTACTTATATGATTATTGTCTTTTTCATGTGATATATGATACGGGTATGTGATGTTTGTGCCCCATATGTGATATTTGTCCCTGATATGTGATATTTGTAGTTAATATGTGATATTATCTTGTTATATGTGATTATTGCTATTTACATGTAATATGTGATACTGATATGTGACTTTTGTGCCCCATATATGACATTTGTCCCTGATATGTATTGTTTAATTGTGATAATTTTAGCCTTACATGTGACATTTGTATCTAACTTGTGATACATTATTGTTTGAATGTTGTTTTTTTTTGAAGCTATAGTACTATGAGATTACAAACATCAAGGAGACAATCAGAGTCAATGATTCCAAGCCACCAATGACAAACTGGACATTGGAAGGTAAGAAGGTGGGTTCGTTACGAACTGCAATGATTACGAAGAAATCGGAAATCGCAATCCACATCTTACCGGAGCAAGATATACCGCGATATGTCCATGAGGAGATAAAGCAAGAGCCTAGAAAGATGAAGGCTAAAAGAGAGGAGGAAGTTAACTCTGAAAACTCTTTAAGAAATAAAAGAGTAAAAAAAAAAAAGAGGAAAGGAGTCAATTGACTATTGCATTGGTGAGATAAGTTTAATTCTTATGTGATTATTGTTTACATTTTGAATGTGGTAATAGTTTATTATGTGAGTATTATTTATTGCATGTGACTGTTATACGTTGATTGTGATAATAAGTGTTATTATGTGACGTTTAGCTATTTTTTGTGATACATTGTTATCTATGCCAGTTGGTTATTCCCTGTGATATTTGCCAGTTTATTATGATAGATGTAGTGTTTATGTGAACTTTATGTGTGGTCTTCCTTATTTGTGGCATTTCCTCGCTGAAAGTTATTGTTAATGTAGACTGAAGCTTATGACAAGCTGTCAATGTTGAATGAAGCCTATGAGCAAGAACTTGTTACTCACAGCGTTGATATGATGGCCATTAAGGCCGATATTGAGAAAAAATTTGCCGGAACAAAAACATGGAAGGAAAAAAAAAGATGATGTAATAACTTATTTCTTGTTTCACATGAGGAAAAAAGATATTGAGGAAAGATATTGATGATCCAGAATATATTTTGTACTTTGGGGTATTAATGTACCTTTGATTGAGTGAAAGTATTAGATAAACACATATAACTGTTTCATTTGTTGGATGATGGATGTTTACTAGCTGTTTGTAAATGATAAAACGTGCATTTGTAATTTCTTAGTGATCTTTTTTCTTTAGCATATTAAATGGAATCTGCAAGTAAAGAAGCTCTTACAGGTGTCACAGTTAATACCAACAAGTCACACAAACAGGTAATATGTCACATTTAATTAGTAAATGTCACAACAAAATGTCAAAAGTACTATTTAATAGACAACAGTCACAAAAGAGTTTAAATTCTATCAGGAAACGTTAATCTTGGATAGGTTCAGTGCACGTGGCTCGGTTATGTCCTTCAGCGTGACATCTTGAGCATCTAATTTGATGTCTATTCTCAGATATGTTATTGATACGTCTATTCTTGTTCCTTTCACGTCTCTTTGTAGTCTTTAGGGGAAGTATGTCAACTGTTTCATCTGTAATATCTGGCTTATCATAATTTGGAACAGGAAAGAGAATTGGTTCGTAACTTTTCTTGAAAGCTTTAGTCGTCATGAACTAATCTCAAAACTGGTACACATCTCTATGCATAAAGTTAATAGCAGCACGCGCATGTTTACATGGTATTCGCAATATATCACATGCACGACACGTGCATGTTTTGTGTTCTAAATCAACTTGTACTAATTTTTGTGATGATACCTCGAAGATTTCAGCTATAGAATGCGATACTTCAAGAGTGTTTCCTTTCATGCAATTTTTTTGGAAAATTTTTTCCGCTTCAGGACATAGATAGCTATTCCATTTTGTTTCCATCTCTCGACGATTATTCATCCTTTTCATACTTTGCACACGAATGTGATCATATCCCAAATAGGAAGTGTTCTCGCCACACGAATCAAATTGTTGAAAGATTCAACAACATTAGAAGTGATATGACCATATCTGTGTATCAAACAAAAATTCACTATCACAAATTATAGCCATGTGTCACATATAAACAACAAACATCACAAGCAGCAACAAAATATCACAGCACACAGCTAAGAGTCCCATATAATGACGTATTACCACATGCGACAAGTAAAGATCACACGTAACAGACGAGCGTCGCATATAAAAGCATAATGTGACATTTAATAACTCAAATTCATAGAAAATGTTTGATATTTGACATAACTTATACCAGAAAATACAGAATTTGCCTAATTATTTGGACCATAACTTAGAACTACTTGGTAAGCTCTTTGATGTGTCAACCTAATCTCATGTAAAACAGCTTTAAATTCTCTTTTTGTATACTTATATGCAACAAACTCTAATAATTTTGAAATACGTTAAGCAACACTTGAGGCAAAACCCATCCTCTAAGCTTCAATTTATAATTCTCAATAAGATGAAGTACACATCTAGAGTGGTACACATCTAAAAATATATCTTTTAAAGATTGTTTTATTCCTTTGTCGTCATCTGCCAAAATTACTAGAGGATAGGGTGAATTGTATGGTTCTGTTCGATTGTACGAAATATACCGCAATCCTTGAATAAACCGACTCCAATTCGCTTCATTTTTTTGTCACAAACGCAAAATGCGAGTGGAAATATGCCTTGATTACCATCATAAGCAGTCACACCTAATAAGATCCCTTTGTAGCGATCTTTCAGAAAAGTCTCATCTAGAAAGAGAAATGGCCTACATCCCTTGATAAACCCATGTACGCATGCACCATAGGACACAAATAAATGTTTGAATCTCCTTTCTTCTTGTTTAATGATGAAGAAACTACATGGGTTTGTTTCCATCACCTTCATTTCGTACCTTAAAAATGATGGTTAAAAGGACAAATAACTTGTTAAATGATGAACAAGATCTAACTATCACATGTAATAGTCAAACATCACAAATCAAGTCTAAATATCACGTATAAGGTCGAACTGTCACAAGTAGGATTTAATTGTCACATATAACATTGAAATATCACTTGAGAAGCGTATTTATCACATAGCGTTTTGAAATGTCACATTTATTGTTAAATGTGATACATATATGTTCTAAAGGAGACATCAACAAATTAATGGACTAACCAGGATAGTAAATCATATGAATGCCTTGCGCAACCAAATATTTGGTCTTTTGCTATCTCCTTAGCACGCCAAGCTTTAGAATAATTAACTTTAAGCCGTATTGAGATTGCAATTCCTTTCTGATGTCAGTTGGGGTAATATATGGCCTCTTCATAATTGATTGTAACATACTCGCAATCCACCTTCTTGATGGTCTGGAGTGACCAGGTGTGTTGTTATGTTGTCCACAAGTATGTTGAGGAACAAATTTTTTTATAGCAAAAGTTGACACATGGCTCAATGATGAAGCGAAAAGCAACCACGGGTATTTTGTTTCTTTTCTGAACATGCAACTAGCACAAATACGTTTTGGCTCATTGTTAACATATTTAAAAGAGAACTTCTTAGCTATAGAATAGTATATAAGAGCCATTCTAACTTCTTTTGCGCTTTCAAATTGTTGCCCTTTTCCAATAATTGCCTCGTGCCACCATGTCGGGATCCGTGATGAGTCACTTACTACGTCGTTCATCATCCACACATGCTCTCCTTGAGGATTATCGTTAGGGATCCTCCCCGATTCCTCGATTGGGATCCTCTCATAAGGTTCCTCGATATGCTCTAATGACTGTGAGCTTACATTAGGAACACTGCAAGTTGAATGTAACATACATATAAGTCACGTGTGATAATCACCAGTAAAGTCACATATAAGACGTAAATATCACAAATAAAGTCAATATGTCACATTGAATGTCTTCCGGACACATATATGACGTAGATATCACAATTTCCATTATAACGTGTATCCAGAACCTAAAAAAAACTTTTGAATACTTACTTAAGCTATGTTTCTGTCCCTATGGCATGCGTGGATCATTCATCTCTTTTAGTAACAGTCATGGTTATCATATTTAACCCCATTGAACGATGAAAATCTATAATGTTGAGAATACCTTTATCTTTTGAAAGCTCAAACGAGACATTGTGAAACTTCTCGAGAGAGTAACTTATCAGCAAACTTAATTTCGTACGGTGCTCTAAAATTCTCTGCAGCTTGCATCTTCAATTCCACTAAACTTGTTGCAGAATTGACTTTAATGAGGGTTGCATTAGTGTTAAATGAAATCACACACATTAAAGAATCTTCTATTTTTTTGTTGAAGAAGTTAAGAGGAAAAAGTTAAGAATATTTTGGTTGTTGAAGGTCTTATGAGTAGATCTAAAGAGGAAAGAAGATATTACATTGAGATGTGACATTATTTTGGAGGGAACTTAGTAGGTTTCCCTCCAATTTTTTCTTTCCCTCCAAAAATCCTCTCCATCCATAACCCCAATCGGAAGTGACTTCAGACTTCATAATGGCATGCTATGCTGGCTAATAAGACAAAATACTTTATACCCTCCACAAATGTGTACAAAAGGGTAAAATGAACAATACTTAAAAATACACTATAAAGTACATATACAATGTTGAGCTTGGGGTGTTTTAGCATAAAATTTTAGGTCAAAGAGCTTATAAGGGGTTGACTCTAGTTGGGGGAGGAGGATGCATAGCCCCAAGTTGTTTTAGTTCCTCCAAGCAATTTTCCCTAAAAAAAAGACGAAAGTTTGAAAACTCTCTTTTTCTCTCTCACACTTAGTTTCTTCACTCAAACCAAACTAAAGAATAAAAAATTAAATTTTTCTATAAATTCGGAATTCCTATTTTTCATGTTTTGCAAAGAACTAAGAAAAATTAAAAAAAAAATTGAAAAACTACAAAAAACTCTTCGTTTATGGAAACTACTTTTTACAATCCTCTTCCTATTGCATATATTTATGGAAAACTAACCAAACAGCCCACCTCAATTTGATAGTTCAGATTTTGTCTTCTTCTTCTTCTTTTTTTAAAATGAAATTGATAGCTAACAGGTATACATTTGAGATTTCGTTCTTCGAGCGCGTTCATTTCCTACCAAATGTATTAGTAGTTGGTATGTAGACCCGAGATACGTACGAATACGCTACACCCATCCACCCGCTACGTAGCGTCCACATACCCGCTTTGCTTGCCACCTCTCCCAACTCGTGAGTCACGTGTACCTCACAACGATGATTCGACACGTGTCCCCTAGCATCTGATTCCATTTCAGGCTTTTTCCCTCCACTGGGCAGTGGGCCCCAACTCTCTCTCTCTCTCTCCAAGTCAAAGTTCCTTTCTTAGTTTTTTCTCTCTCTAGGGTTTTTACTTGTAAACTGTAATCACTCGAGCTCAAAACAAAACGCTTGTTGTTTTCCAAGGTAAAAGCGGAAGCTTTTCTTTTTAGGGTTTTGATTAGGGTTTTTGCTGATTTTTGGTTTTGATTTGTCTTTTTGGTTGCAGTGGCGGCTATGAGGAGGTGTTGTTGGGTAAAGGTGAGATTTTTGTTGCTAAAGAATTATCTTTTTTTTTTCCTTTTTTTCTGCGAATTGCAATGCATGATATTGTTTTAGGTTTAGTTTTGCCATGATTTGAGTTTGAAGTGAGTTGTGATGGCTTGATCAAGGACTTGATGGTGTTTATGGCTCTGATTTTGATGGTAGTTTGTTGTGGTTTATGATATTATCAACTTTGTCAACTTCCTTATGTGCTATCTACTTCACCCTTCTCTCATGGAATGTTAACATAAAGGGAGAGTGATGAAATTGCATTTTTTGGCGAAGCTACTATTAGAAAATATCAATATTTTTGCAAAATTGAAGACGTGCATGTGTGGTAGTCATTCACTTTACTTGAGTTGAAATGTTGACAATGGTAATTACTTTCTCATTTTATTAATTTACACCCTTGTTTGATTAGCTTTTATTAGACATATGTGAGATGCCTTAAGAAACTGCATGAGTCAGTTGAAACTGGGTGATGGTAGGGAGTGCCAATAATATGATAATACGATGCATGCCTCAGAACATCAGCTCATTCATTTTCTTAGAGGGAGTTCTATTTTTACATGTTCTATCTATCTTTGAAGCACCTGAGGTTTGAGCACATCGGTAAGTTTTGGATGCACCTTTGTTACAGCTATTTAACCGTTTCAGGATTACTTTATATTTTGCTATTGGGAACTTCTACTTACCTTGTATTTCTTACAAGGTGAAGTGGCTCTTCAGTTCCATTCTCTTGGCTGTCTTTTGCCAGTTGCCCTCTATTGATACATGAAAACTTGATTTTGGCAGCAGAGCTGATGCATTCCCTTTTGTTTTCAGTCAGAAATGGCCCTTTGATCCTCATGTCCTGGCTTCCTTCTGGCTATGATCACCATTATGTTAGGGGTTTTTTTTCTCTGGTTCATCCAATTTGTATACTCCACATCGAAAAGAAAGGGAAAAAAAAAATTCTCTTATGCACTTGTTATTTTTCACCACTCCCCAATGATGGATCTCCTTCTCTCTGCAATAGTCTATACTGACATTGCGTCATTGAAAACTTTACTTCATGATTATGAGCATATTCCCTTTCCTGCTAGTATGTTTTTTTTATGATCCTCTCTTTATATTGGTTTTCTAAGACGTTGACGTACATTGCATCCAGGTTTATTTACCTTGCTTGTGCTTGTGCTTTTTATATTTAGTTACTTACTCCTGCACAAAATATAGATTTTCCAAGCCGATTTTCAAGCCGATGATCCTTCTCTCTCTTTTTAGTAATAAATTTATTCCCTATCTGTCAAACTTTTAAATTGACAAGATTTCCAGCTTGTTATTAAGGTTATGAGCATTTTGGTCTCTAATTGGATTTACTTGAATGTGATGATGTTGCTGTCTAGAAGCATCTTTGTATGTTATTCTTCTGTCCTTACCATTGCTTTCTACTGGTTTGTCTGCCACTTGTTTCTTGATATTGATATACTTACACCTGTAAGGCTCTGCTGTCTTTATACAATATCTGCTATTTTCAAAGTGAGTTCGTCTCTGATATGCATCAAATGTGACACTTGTGTGCTGCATGTATTACACTTGGAAGACGCGTCAAATTTTACAACGAATTGCATGAGAATGCCGTACTGGTCTTTAATAAATTCTAAGCATTGGACCCCACACATTCATGCTTGCTTAAACAGATGCAAAAGGATCCTTTAGCGTGAGAATAATACTATGTTAACACCTCACAAAAGGACTTCATAGACTAGTGATAGGCGGTGTATTGATTGATTTTTTAACTTTTTTGTTTCACTAGTTACCTAATTAAAATATATGGATTTAGATCATTAATACCTTAATTTTATTGGGTTTTCTTACATATCTATCTCTTAAGCTTTGATTAATTACCTTCCAATTCTTGCTATTTGCTTTTCCTTCAAATCGTATATAGATTCATGAGTCAACTCCACCTCCATTATATTTGTAGCATAACGACAAAATCTCTACTTTGTCTATTTTGTCTCTTGCAAAATCTCTATTAAGTGTTCATGATATTCTGGTGATTTGGATGTCACTTGTGGAAATTATGAAGTCTTATTCCATGATTTTCTTAATAAGGTTGACGCTATTTGAAGGACCTAGATAATGGGAGTGAATAATTCAAATATGTGCAGAGATTTGACTTTTAAACATCCCAATTTTTGAGGTATCCATTTATGATTCTCAGTCTCGTGAATTCCTGAAGTTCCTCTATTTCCAATTACAAGTAACAATTGGACCTTTTTTTTCTCTGCTTGTAAGTGAACTCACTAGCGACAAATTTGGCAATATACCATTCATCCTTTTCGTTGGACCCTTACCTGGGTATGAAAACCAACTACTTATACTTATTCAACAAGATCTAGTTGTATTCTTGACATGGCAGTTGTCCTTATTGTCCATCTAATCTTCCACACTTCATCCCTACCTCAAAATGTATCAAGAACATTGTTCATAAATTTGTTCCTTTTTTGTTCAAAAGAATGTGTTATCACAGAGGTATTCTTTGAGATATTTTCATGATCTTACCAGTGATTCTTTTCAATCTCTAGACTTTTATCTGCAAAAAGAAAAAATTGGTAACTGTCTCATTGCAGTTTGGTTCATGTATTGTGGGCTGCTAATTGATTTATTGTTCCTGGAATGTTATCATATGATACCAATCTGAACTACTAACTATATTCGATCATGATTTGAATTCTTAAATTCCTCTATGGTAGTATCTTCATTCCCTAGCACATGAGCATGATCAAATGCTTTTCCATGGCTTTGGATATAGACTAGAGACAACGATTTAGAAACCCTGACTATAATTGGTGTGCAGGGGTTTTTAATGGCTTTGATCATGATCAAATGCTTGGATCAAGATTTATATGTCCTAAATCACAGATCCGACCTACATGTTACTTCGTCCATCCATTTGTGCCTAGTTGGTCCATGAACAATGTACGTCATTTGAAGTGCATAAAAACCAAACTTAAGTACTTTAAACATTTCTTCTGCCCATAAATCAGGTGGGCAGAAAATAGTAACTACTGAATTTTTAACTTAATGGTCTACAATTTTTAGGACTTATCTAAAATTTAAAATTGGTGTACAATCTAACCCACATGTTGCTTTGACTGTCCATTTGTTTGTTGTTGGTCTGTGGATAAAATCCTCTTAAAACACTTTGTTTTTTTTGTTCAGGATTTAAAGGATATAGATCAAATTTAAGGGAGTGTTTTTGAATTTGAATGGAAGAATTCGACTCCAAGTACTAAAAGTTGCCAAGTCTCTTGTCAAAATCTTCTCTTGTTCGTAATGCCATTATTTGCAAATTACAAGTCCTACAAACACTTGGTTACATATTATGCTTAGATTCTCGTTTCTTTTCCGGTTTCCAAAATTTTAGATGAGTTTAGCATCTATATAAAGTCTCAACCTCTTAGAACCTTAGTTTTGGACCTTCTATCGTCAGATCTTCAAGCATTGTTTACCATTTGGGTTTTGGCAGCTCTGACTTGTGGATTTGATTGTATGGTTCAAACTAATATCTAGGTGGTGATTCGCGACTGAACCGAGGATAGGTACACTGAAACTAATTTGTGGGGAAGAAGTAAGTTTTGGAAACTCCATCAAAGAATAAACACTGGAGAGCAACCTTTTAATATTACTATGGCCCTAATTATTTAGAACTGCTGGACACAAGAGTTGGACAGTAACATCTATTGTGAAGATTAATTATTTAATGACACTGATCAATAGTTTATAACATACATTATGGATCCTTTTTTTTTCTTTTTTGTCTCTGAAGTCAAGCTAGCAGGTGCATTGTTTTTTATATGTTGGCAAATCCTCATTCTTACTTATCATATTTGGTAGGACCATAACTGAAGAGAATGCTGAAGCATGCTCATACAATGGAACACTCTCCACCAGCTCATCCCGCTGTAGGAGTCCCAAGTAGCAGTGCTGCACAAATAGCCTACGCTGCTCCCCCCTACCAACAAGCTACAATGCCTGGTCCTCCTCCAGCGTCATCCTTTCCTACATCTTCAGCTCATCTCACTTTCCAACAAGCACACCAATTCCACCTCCAACAACAACAGCAGCAAAATCAACAGCTTCAGGCCTTCTGGGCTGAGCGAATCCTAGAGATTGAGCAAACCACCGACTTCAGAAACCACAGCCTGCCACTTGCACGAATAAAAAAGATCATGAAGGCTGATGAAGACGTACGAATGATATCAGCTGAGGCCCCTGTTGTATTTGCCAAGGCTTGTGAAATATTCATACTGGAATTAACACTTAGGTCATGGATCAACACTGAAGAGAACAAGAGGAGGACACTCCAGAAGAATGATATCGCTGCTGCTATAACGAGGACTGATATATTTGATTTCTTGGTTGATATAGTTCCTAGAGACGAGTTGAAGGAAGAGGGACTTGGGATTCCGAGAGCTGCGTTGCCTATGGTTGGGGGGGCGGCTGATTCTATTCCTTATTATTATGCTCAACAACATCCGGGCATGTTTATGGGGAAAAACATGGACCAGTCTGCTGATTTCTATGCTGCTCATCAACCTCATCCTGGGGCTTATATGTGGCCTCAAGTGCAATCAGCCCAACAACAGCAAGCACAGCAGCAGCATCAACAACAGCAGATGCCTGATAATGGCTAAAGTTAATATTAGGTTTTTGTTTTTCTGCTAACAATAGTATGTGACTGAAGTTGTCGATATCTGTACTTTATTTTGCTCTTGTAGTAGGCACTATTGTCATGTGTTAGCTTTTTTAGGGGCGATGATGACTTTCATGTTTATTTCAACTTGCAGCGAAAAATGAGACGGTCCGAATTTCATAACTGTTGATCAGTAACTTTTCTTGAAGGGGCGTTACTAGGACCTGTTATGGTATATACTTGATTCTGTCAAGAAATTCAAGGCAAACGAGATGAATTGAAGGGGCTGTTGTCAGCCAACAGTTGCTTTTTCTCCGGAATCAAAGTGTTTAAATAAGCGTCTCCTGAATTTTGTTGAGCCTGGCTTTTGTAGGTCGTGGTTACTCTGGAATGCACGCAGGTTGTCAAGATTTGGTTTCAAGGAATTTGGTACGTGTTGTGTTCTGGAGAATTATTTTGCAGATAATTCTGACAAGGTTGTTTGGCAGCGTACGCAAAACTTAAATTTTATATTTTTTGCCATTTCAACAGAAGTATATCCGTCGAAGCATGAAATTAGTGGGAGAAAATCATTACAAAGACATAACGCTTGAAGAAGAGAACGCATCAATAATAAGCATAGCAAAGCTTTAAAATACAGGCACTTGCATGCGTGATTAGAATGCACAACTCAAAATTGTGAATCAGCTCCCCTACAAAACCGCAGCTTTCTCAAGAGTCAAAAATATTCTCAAAGTCGCCCAAATTACGGCTGAGACTTTTATTTACACAACTATCGTATATCTCATTTATCCAGCTTCCATTCATGATCTCATTTTGTCTGGTACTAAACTTCTCGCTAATCTGACTCCATAAAACCAGCTTCACCAGGAATGAAGAAAAGCATCAGTGCCTTGGATCTATAGTAACAGACTTTCGGTTCGGCCATCGCAATAGAAGAACAAATCACGCTACATGATGTACATGATCCTTCATCTTTAAACAAAAGATCTCCTGAAAAAGAAGATTATCTAGTTGGATCATATAACAGGCATAAAACTCTTTCAATTCAAAGAAAAAGTGACAGCGGAAATCCAAACAACATAATAAAAGAATAAAGAACCATCACTACCATTATCATGTACTCATCAGTATATAGACTTTTTCCATCGGCTGGTGTCTGCTATGATGCACAAATATCATGAAAATGGTGACCAAATTGTAAATTTGGTGCCAAAGTTTTGATCTAATAAAAGCTATGCACAAGAACAGGGTCTGCTATAAAATCGTGAAAAATATAACGCGTCTTATATTAACATTCATACTCAAATCTATAACCTACATGAGAAACCGGATCAAATAAAGCATTCAAGCAGCAGATTCATATCAAGAAATAAAGTAGCTCAAGTGACTGCTACATAATGTAAATCATGGTAATGGACTCTGGTGTATATACGTATCAATGCCTGCTGGCACTTCATGTATACATGGTATGGCCAGTCACATACGCCCATAATGTATCATTTATTCTGAATAATACCATAGTAAGCATCCAAACCCCTAGAACCTTTCACTGATTTGACAAATATAGCAATAGCAGATCAAGGTAAATAAATACCCCGATGAGACATTAATATCTGTAGTTGGTATATATGCCAAACCCCCTATACAATTTACCAAACATAACCTCTTTGCAAGTCATGAATCAAGCAAGGTAGACATTTAAATTTAATATCAATTTCTACAGAATACCTAATCTAGATAAATGTAGCAAAAGGTTAATTAAAGATGGATGCCACCGATTTTTTTTTTTTAGGTGGGGGGGGGGGGG